AACAAATTTTTTAATGCTTCAATTAATTATTAGTGAATGATAAGAGTGAGGGATTTAGCTTCTTAGCATAACTTTTATCTTCTTAAATCATTCTGGTATCTTTTAAATAAAAGTATCTGACTGACGGTAATGCAAATTGAAATCTGCTGTAGGATCAAGGGGGTGTTTAACACAAAACACCAGTAGATAAAAGTTCGCAATGTGTCCTGCCTACATCCTAGAATAATGACTTGTATGACACCTTCAGGGCCCCTCCCTTGACAATTCTTTCTCTATCATAAATTTTCCAGAGGATGCTCTGAAAAGCTGAGGTTTTGCCACATGCCAAAATAATTTGTGGGAAATAAACTAAGGTAGCTGAAGGAAAGGTTTTAGTGAATTAGGCAAGGAACTGGCCACTACTGTGAAATCCCATATCCTAATATCAGCCCCTTGAACAACCTCCCAAGGCCAACTCAAATCTTACGGCACTTTATACACAATTTCCAATGAAACCAGTTTTTTTTTTTCTTGCAAACTCAGACAAATAGGTCACATAAATAGCCTCAAAGCCAATATAACTTTCTAGGTGACAGATAAGAAAATGGCACAACAAAAAGAAGTAGAAGGAAACTAAGAGTAACCCATTACTCTACAACGATGTTATTTGGAAAGGAATATTAATTACAAAATGGAAGCAGACTTGGGGAAATTTAGTAAACATATTAGGAGAGCAGAATAATCACATACTGGAGCTTCATTTCACTTTTACAAAAAAATTGTACCGGCAGTGTGTTAATTCAGCAATAATATAATATTCTCACTTTACATATTCACTACAATCAAGTTAAATTGCTTAAAAATTTTTTCTAGTTAGCTTTTAGAACAATGCAGTTTGGAAGTTAATGGCTTTGTGTAACTTATACAGAAAAACTGATTAAAGGTTTCATTTCATCTTACATGAAAATTGGTCTGACATGTCACAACTCCAGTTCTGGAAAGATTTGGTGGCCTAAAAGCTATGTGATTAACTTGACTTGAGTCTACATCTCCCAAAAGAACTGGAGGGCAAAAACGTTCCTGGTGACATTAGTTTCAATTATATTAAGTTTACACACTCCATTTACCTGTTTCATAAAAGCAGACATAGTAACTGCATATATACATACACATACATTTTTTATTTCTGAGTCAGTTTTTAAATTTTTAAAAAATACATGACATCTACAAGTGAAGTCGATTTTAGGATAGCGCATAGTAATATTTATTCTGTTTTTCAGTCTTCCCTTGACTTCCATACCTCTTTGTTTTTCCTCTTGAAACCATAAACTGTCATTTATAATACATCTCCTTTCAAGACACACCCAATTCTTGTAAAGGAAGTACCAAATTAAAATAGGAGGAATCTGGAAATACTGTTTTATCTCAAGAGTTCAATGCAATTGCTCCAGTTGAGATAAATACATGAAGACTTTTCTGAAATAACTTTTACATAAGGATAAAATGATTTCTATGTAGGAAACAATTACCAGGCAACATTATTATCACCAGAAAATTGTCAGCTAGAATGAGCAATAAAAACATTGTACTTGAAATGAGATATTAGAGAATAGCTATTAAAATATTTTACTCAATTTCTATTATACCTTAAAATGAAAGTCATCAAAATGTCATTACAGGCCTTGTCCCCAGAGTCTTCAGAGACTGAATTTAATCATTTCAGGAAATTGAGCACTACCCAACATTCATTTAAATCCTTTGAAATCACAGCAAAACAAAACACAGTGTGAAACTTGTAAGACATTTTATATTAAAATACATTCATATATATGCATAGAAACATGCCACATACCAGGCAAAATTTGTCTTCGGATACCTAGAATCAAATATTTCTAGTGAAATCAGCACTGATATAAAGCATTACCTTCAAGAAGACCTGAAGGGAGAAACCCAAGTTAAGGAGCCACAACTAAGCTTTGCAAAACCCCAGTCTTAATAAACGCACTAAAGTAGCCATTAAAAAAAAATACCTTCGAAACCCAATTTTCTGGAAATTACTTCGAGCCACAATGACTACCTATACAACAGAGCACAGAACTTTTAACTGCTGCTCAACTACAGAGAGCTAAACATTAGTTGAATAAGTGCAAATACACTAATAAAGGCATCCTTGAGCATTCTTTCAGAAAACTAGTTCTATATGAAGGATTTTCAAGCCAGAAGAGACCATCGGCATCACCGAATCTCAGTTCTTAATTACCAGTTCTAGGAATAAAATCTACATAATATAAATAAAGACCATTTCTTACTGATTCCCCCAAATGACAATTTTCTCTAAAAAAATTAAAATTTGCTTATTTCCAAGGCTGAACGGAAAACAAATGAAGTACCTGGCTGTATTTTGTTAACAAAAGCCAGGCATTCTTTAGAAAATGGCTAACAATAAATTAAATTCCCTGAGGTTTTATCTTATTTATTTATATCCCTCTCTTCTTTAAACCTTTTATTTCAAAAGAACAATTTAAAATTTAAATAGTTTAATTTAGAAAGCAGTTTTCTAATGCTACTGGCAAGAAGTACATGAAATGGTTTGAAAATTGCACTTTGAAAAATGTTTAATTTTTACCTTTCAGTTCGAGGAGGATGCACTTCTCACGGAACCCATTTTTCCTGAAGATACTCAGGGCTGGCCGGTTTAGAATAAAAACCATTAGCATATTACTATCAAAAGAAAAACTCCCCTGCAAAGCTGCAGTCTCTCTCGGAAGGAAGCTGTTGGTGCTTATAAGCAAGAAATGCCTTTCCGGATACCTACTCTGTCATCGTCATCTTATTAGCAGAGTGTATGCTCCCTGTAGCATCAATTAAGCAGTTTTTAAGGAATGGAGAAATAGATGCAGGCTCATCTGCTCTAAGCACGGCTATATACTCCGCAGCCTCTTAATCACCACGGCTCCCTCTGACAAGGATCTGGGATGCAAGGACGTCCAGGGACCATTAAGTAGCACGCTAGCAGAACATTCCTGGGAGTCACCAATATTGGACACAACTTTCCCTCAAAGAGCTAGCATGAGTCGGTAGGTGACAGAGCTGCGGCGCATCTGCCAGTTTCCTCCTTAGCGCTGGGGAAGCGGCGGCCCGACCCCATCAGAGAAAGTACTCCTGACCTCCTAGGGTCCCCGCAGAATCCAGGCAGCGCAGAGGGCCTGCTTCATATGCAGACGCAGCTAGAAACAAAGTAAGGAAACGGAAGGTTTACCCTCTCATCCTCAATCCACCGAAAGCGGTCATCACCCGAATTACAAATGAAATGCTAATGCACAAGAAAATAAATGCCAATTTCCTCCACTTTGTTCCAAGTTTCAGAGGTTCCCCCACAATGAAAGATAACTGTTCCATACCATTAACTCAGAACAAAACATATTTTTAGTGGGACAGCGGTGTTTACTTGTAAGAACTGATGAATTGTTCGCCACCATTTATCACTTGCAGACAAAGACGTTCAGCCACAATTTTGGACATAAATCAAGATACATGCTCCTCAAAAAAAAAAAAAAAAAAGACTGCTTAAGTTCCCCAAACCACAGAGATTGAGGTCAGACTGGCCATAGCAACCAAGAACAGGACTTGGGGCTCGAGAAGGACCTAGCAACCGATAAATGAGTTCAGATCTCTTTTCATCTCCACTGGTGTGAAAGCCAAAATTAAAAAGATTAGATCACCCCGCACCCATTACAAAAGGCGCCACAATGAAAAAGTCATTTCCAGCCTTTGAATCACATCAAATAAATAACCTTCATCCCTGCTATAATGAACAACTTTCAAAGTAAATTGAATCTCCATCGCGCTGCTTTCCCTGGCTGCACAGTATTTACATAACAATATATCACAGGAAGCTCAGAATGGGTCTCGTAAATGGGGAACTCGGGATAAAAAGCATCTTTAGCCCCGATTACTGTACACTCAGACTGCTTTTCAATCCCCCTCATTTAAACAATGTGTTGTATCAGGAACATAAACAATGTTTTTAAATTCTGGGAAATGAAAGTTTTCGGTACATTTTTAAATGTCTGGACTCACCCCTTTTGTGGGGCACTGAGAATATAGGAATCACTTAACCTCCTAAATCCATGCTCTGGATTCATTTCTGTGACAAAGAATTGTCATCTATGTACACATTTGCTTCTTTGTTTGTGCCAGTAATTTCTCACCCTAAGTATCTCCTGCATTTTCATCTATTACTTAAGAGGAAAGCACATTTGCAGATTTTCGTTAGCCTGTGGCTCAGTTATTATTTGTCATTTCCTCGAAAGTAGAAGGTATTCTCCACTGCCTTAACAATGCTGTCTATTAAGTTTTAGCAATATTCCACACAAAATAATCATCTTCTACAGTTTAATTTTGACAGAATTTCTCCAGGTCATCAAAAAAAGGTCTTTAAGGATTAACATCCCCAAATACTCAGGCTTCCATAAACTATTGTACAGTTAATATATCTCAAATAGAGTATGTTCAAAATAAGACAGTAAATCTACGTTAAAAATATAACAGCTCTATCTTATCTTTTTGTGGCAGCTCACGTAGACATTACTATTAGAACTCCACAGGGAATCTCATTAATTTTTAAAACTCTTTGACCTCCGTACAGTTGAGTGTAAAAATAATGACAAATTAAGAATGAAAGAGCATCACTTGAATTCCACATGACCCTCTGCTCTACGTTGCAGAAAACATTGCTTTCATCAAACAGAATTTTTTCCAGATATGAATTTAAACAGCATGATAAATGTCATCAGACAGACATAAAAAGCAGCTCACCCTTCCACCCAGCCCTGCACACATCTCACCTCCAATGAGTCTAGTAACACAAAGCCCTGAGAACACAGGTTTGCAGGCAAGTGACAGCACAGATGACATCCTCACAAAAATATTTTCCTATTGAGACTCTCTTTGTATTTCAATGTCTGTCTCAGCCACAAGGACACAAAAATACAAGAATCAGGCCATAAATATTTTCTTACCTCAAACTTGTCAGAAGGATGGTCTTCGGGTGGCAGTCATTGTTGTCACCTCCAGTGTCCCCTCTCGCCATCGTGGAAATTGGCTCCACTATGTTTATTGCTCTGTGCCTCAGTTACAGCTGTGGCACTCATCTGCCTGCACAGAACCTACGAGGGGAAATGAGAGACAGTGAGAAAGTAAGAGAGGGTGTGTGTGTGTGTGTGTGTGTGTGTGAGAGAGAGAGAGACAGAGAGAGAGAGAGAGAGAGAGAGAGAGAGAGAGAGAGAGAGAGAGAGAGAAACAGTCTGCTGACTTGAAACTAAGAACCTAAAACCTCCGGCCAAGACAAGCCTGAATAAAAATGATCAAAGCTCTGTCCTTCGTCAGGGTACTTGTAGACAGATATTTTTTTTCTCCTCCACCGAAAAGTGGAGCTGTCATTGGGGATTCTCACCAGGAAAGCGCAGACAGAGGCAGACCTTCTCCAGAGTGTCAGCGCTGCCCAGCAGTCCATGCAGAATACAGGTACCTATTGTTCCAGAGACAGATATGTAGCCAGCCAGTCAGACTCTGACAGATCTCAGCAAACCAGTGAGCCTGCCTTCATTTTAACTCCTTATTTACTAGTGCTTTTTGGTCAAATGCAAAGGTCTTCTCATCACCCATGAGAAATAAATGGAAATGATACAGATAAACCCATGGCAGGAACTAATCCCATATCTTTTACAAAGAGGGACTTTTCACTACTGTTATTGAAACTCTGAATTTGATAAAAAATATCTTCTTTTTCTGGGAAGAAATGAAACATTAGATTACAAGGGGAGGACTTAGTGAGTAAAAGAAAGCCTTGACATCCAGGATAAACAGCACGATTTTAAAAGGAAGACAGAAATTCAAAGCACCCTGATGGTAAATACATATACACCAGAACATGAATGGGGTCACCTAAGTCAAGGGGGTCCCAACCTTTTTTTGCATAGGGGTGTGGCACACTGAATGCATTCCACACAAAAAGCTACCCGGGTAGACTTCGGTTTTCTTAGGGGCTGGGTGGAGTCTTTTTAGTCTCTCTCCTTCTAGACCCCACTGCTTCCTTAAGCATCCCCAAAACATCTCCCTTCCCTAGAGCCTCACCAGTGTTTAAATTATGCCTAAGGCAGTAAAACAAAATTAAGGAAGTGCAGAGGAAAATACTCACTCTATATTCTCCCTGATGGATCCCAAGATCCAGAGGGTACATCTGATTCTTTAAATTCCCAGACCTTTCAGAGTACAGTGGGTTTCTAACTTTCGTCTTTGTGTGCTAATTGACTGATTTTCTTCTAAGGAGTGAAAGAAGGCAAAATGCCTTGCATTTGATTGTTTAGCACTATTAAAAGGCAGGGGATAGAAAAGCAAAAGGAAAAGTAGTTCTCACTGAGTTAAAATAAGAAATGGACTTACACTTCTCCCAAAGACTTATTATACAGACACTTTGGACTTCTTTCTGGAGTGAACACCAGTTTCATTAACTGTTACCATTTTTCCCGAGAAACACTATGCATATTCTGATATAGTAGGTGTGCCCCAGAATCTATAAAATGGTTATGAAAATGCCTCTGTAAAACCCACACTTAAGCATCACTTTACAAAGCCAGAGGGTAAATACTCAGCGCAACAGGAGGAGGTTTAACCATGCACGGATGTTAATGATAATGAGATATGCAGTATATATCTATGCACTGCCCAATAGCCTCTCCTAAATATCTAGGGAATTTTTTATATATTTTTAAAAAAACCCAATAAGAGATTGCATCATGATGCCTCAAAACTCCATTTAAAAAAAAGAAAAGAGACCTAGAAAAAACAGTTCTCTCCTTCATACTGCCTCTTGTCCTAAATGCCAGCATTTTGAAACCAGTTCAAGTCATGCTAATTTAATTATAATTCTGTGCAATTAATACAGGAACTCTTTTGGAAGTTAAAATTGCTTGACTTGGTGACTTCTGAAAGTCTACTTGTGTTTTGTGCTCAGGGAGAGCATCTGATATGCTCAGAAGAGAAAGGATGTCGAAAGACTTTACCTGAGGAGAGAAGTATACTAGATTTCTTACTGGGCTCATCTAACCTATGAGTCCAAAACAAGAGAGAAGTATAGCCTGCTTTTCTCAGTGGGATAAATGGATTTTTTTCAAGCCCATTTTAAAGAACATGCACATCTCTATAAGCTTCAGAAATAACCTAATTTATCATGACTCTCTTAATAACAAAAATAGCAGAAGCCCATTCAATGAAAGAAGTGGCCTTGATTATAGGTACCCACATAAAACAGAGCTGGATCACAGCAGAGGTGACAGCTCCCATGCAGACCTCCCATGACTGCTTCTAATGCTGTAGCATAAAAGGGGCATCTAAGCTCTCCCTCCTGAGCATGTGATAAGACTTAGGTGTAAGTACATTTAATTAGGGCATTACCCAGGCCCCATCCAGATGTCATTATCCTTTAAGGTTGCGTGTGGTTTTTTTTGTCTTTTGATCTTTCGGTCCAACTTCTGTTGTCTTCAGAAAATGAAGCTTGGTATGCCAAACAGATTTTAAATATTCAGCTCTTAACATGTCTGGATACAGACAGTTCTCCCAGTTGAGACCCATTATTTTCTGGAGGCATGTGCAGGGAGGGTTATCACCATTCACGGGAGTCATGTGCACACATAAATAAAAACAGAGGATACACTCCTGTGAAGTCTGTGTGTAAATGGGTATCAGTATTTGTGTATGATACATATTTTTTGTTGTTGCTGCTGTTTTAAGAGTAGGGGTAAAGATCATTGTTTTCTCAGTAAAGTTTTTTGTGAAATCCCTACTAGGATATCTTTGTCCCTAGAACACCCTTGAAGCCCAGTACATAGTCCTGGGTTTATAATTCACACTTCAGTCCCCAATTTGCCAAATAATTCATGTCAAGTGGAAGTCCAACACACAGTGCCGACTGAAAGGAAAAAGAAAAACTGTTTCATGTGCTGGGGTTTTAAGGAATAAACACATGAGGTTAGGGGTACCACTCAGTAACAGTAGCAAGGGGTAGATTAATTCCCTTGGTACTTTGCTGATTATTTATCTCTCCACATAGCTTGAACTGAGAGACATGAAATTAGATTTTTCAGAGGAAATGCAAAAGTAAAAGAGAACATATTCTTTATATTAAAGAATATTCCAATTTTTATAATCCCGTTCCCCCCCAGGACTTGCTACAGACACAATCAGTTACTCATTCACACAATAAGCCTCATGCTGATCTAACGTCTAAAAGACTCTCTGGGAACATTGCAGGTAATCCGACTCCAGCAAAGTTAAAAATAGTCTCTCCACCAAATTAAACATTATCTAAGTTCTTCACACAGTTATTAAATACATAGAAGATCACCTCTGTGCATAATCTATAAATGGCTTGGATTACATCTTAAAATTCTAATTAAAAATTTTTGTCTCATCTCTGTTGGTCAGTTCGAGATTAGAGAGTAAAGTCTGGTTCGAAGTGAAAACTCCGTGGAATCAAGATTTCTTATGGCTGAAAGTTGGAAATTAACAGCAGTATTACAAAGTATTTATAATAGAAAATAATACAAAACTATAAGCAACTTCCAAGATTCCCTTTCAGACTGTGGGTTTTTAGTGCTGGGAAGAGATTCCCTGTTGACTTATTCCACAGAACTTTACTTTCCTGAGAGTTGTAGAGATAAACACAAGAGACAAAATTTCTGTGAAATGTTAAAGTATTACCATGATTACATTATAAACTGAAATCTTAAGAATCTAATCATAAAACCTGGCTAATTAGAAAGTACATCATGAAATATATAAACTAAAGCTTTTCAATATTTGAGATTCAGGACAGGGTAAATTCTACTTAAGTTTTCATTTACTCCAAGTGAAAATACTATTTGTGAGATCACTGTGCTGAAAAGATAGTGAAAATTTAATGGAAAATATTAGGGGCTACTTTATACCATCCAAACACTTGCAATATTGAATAGTTTCACCATTTTATAATTAAAAGAAGGAAAGGTATTATGCATTTTTCCTCACTGCAGCACAAGAATATATATTTTACAGAATCTGCCTGATCAACTTCCTGACATACAGTCTCAATTAGATAGATATTTGGTTTCAAAAATACTCAAGGAAATATTTTACTCATTAATTAGTAAGCCATCAGACATTTTGAGATAATGGTAGAGAATTCTGTCTTCCTTATTCTACAATAGCGGCTGGAAGGCAACTCTGAGAAGATGCATACAGTGAACAGAATGTTAATATTTGCAGTAGTAACAAAGGGAAAGTATTTGCATTGTTGCATGTGTAAATGAAACAATATGTTTTCCATGTTTCCATAAATGTCCTCTTAAGTGGTCTCAGACTTATAGGACAGTGAATAAAACACTAACATGGAGCTGATTGATGAGAGTTGATATTCAACACAAAAGCACTTCATAGAAGTTGGGAAACGCCCAGAAGGAAATTAGGCAAAAAAGTTGGTAAAGATTTCTTTACATCATTTTGTAGAGCATTTTAAAAAATCATAGCATATTTTAGAACAAGACTATTACCCTCAAGAATTACAATTTGGAAGTTTTTGTTAATGGACGTATATTATATCCTGTATCTCTCTCTTTGAATTGGGATCTAACTGACTTTTCCAACAGCTGTTTGCAGAGCTTCACAGGGATTGGGAGAGTGGTCTCATAGATGCACAGCTTCACCCTGAAGTACTCTTCTCTCTTCCTGCCATCGTGTGCAGTCTTCCCCACCCAAATCTTTTGATGAAAGCAGGATAAAGCATGATATTTTGATATAGCAAAGTCATTACAATCCTGAACGAAAATGTTATTGGAGCTTTCCCTAGCTACTGCTGTTAAAGGAAGTCTTTAAAAACCAATTTCCTTTCCTTCCACCCAGTCAAGTTTTCTCCACAGATAATTGGTTTTCATTATATGCACAAAAAGCATCAGTGAAGTCAGTATGTATGGAGCATTTAAATATTTTCAAATGAAAATATGCATGTCTTTATGTTTGGGCACTCAAACACATGCTTCCATCTGATTCTGTGTCATTGACCATTAGCACTCCTATGACACGAGAGAAAGCTATCACACGTGGGAATTGTAAAGGCTGTGCCCACAGCCAAGTGAGTCATTAGTACAAATGAAAGTCCCATAAAGTTACTATGGTGGGTGTCATATTCTTGTACTTGAAACAA